TAGAATTAATTGTATTTATCACACATACAATTCTCTTATGTTTACTATACTAAGCATAACACACACACACACACACACACACACACACACACACACACACACAGAGAGAGATAGAGAGAGAATATAAAAACAACCAAACAGCAAATTTAATACATATCGGACAGACTATCGACTGTACAACTGAAACAAGTAAACACAATTATAAAAGTCCTCTAAAAAGAAAGATAGATACAGAGTATTTCAAACTGCGTCCACGTTGTTTTTGATATTTCGGGTTGGTGTAAGATGTCTCCATATGGTACATACAAGATGTCTTCATCGGGTAAGATGTGGTCCGTTCAACGCTAAAACGTAAGAAATTCTACAAACATGAAGTCTTCTGATGGATCTTATTGAAAATCATCAAAATTGTTAGTCGATATAAAACTGTCAGATAAAACATATGTCCTTGAGAAGATGAACCTAGCTTTTTAGTTTAGAAAAAATGTTAATAATTAATGGTACACAATTTGAAATAACACGAAGTTAAGATCGAGTTGTATAAGTTCATCATTGTGTTATCTAAACTGATATCATAATTATTTGTAATTATTATTCATAAACATGATATTATCAATAATTAATCAAATACTTCAGTCATACTTGAGATGCTTTGTTTCTAAAATATAAACTTGTTTGTCTAATATCACACGCGTTGTTTGATGAGGCTCTAAAAGGTCTGTTAAAAAAAATCAAAAGAAGTAAAAAATAGAAATTGTGGAGTACTTCACTTACGAAAATAAAAGACTGAAATATTATAGAAAAACCGTGTGGAAAATATCAATCTACCATAATGAGATTGATCAATTGATTAGTGCTTGCTAAAAGCTGCCTCAGCCCAAAAAGGCTATATCGAGTAGTGACATAATGATTATTTGATGTCCGTTAGCACTGAATCATACATCATTATTTCTGTGCTTTATGTCTATTGTTTTTATGTTAGTGTTTTTGTTCCTCGTACCGATCTTTTGAGTTAAGTGAATTGCAACTGATTTTTACAGTGTGTTCTTATGGTGTGATGTTACACCACTGCCCCAGGTTAGGGGATGGTTGAGCGCTCACAAACATGCTTAGCCCCGCCACGTTCTTTATGTGCCTGTCTCAAGTCAGGGGCCTGTAGTACAGTGCTTGTCGTTGGTTCATGTATGTCATATTTGTTTTTCGTAAATTGTTTTGTTATAAAATAAGGCCGTTGGTTTTCTCGTTTGAAATGTTTCACATTTTTCATGTCGGGGTCTTTTATAGTCGAATATACGTAATGGGTTTTCTAATTGATGAAGGTCGTATGGTGGCCTATTATTGCTTAATACCACTTCATTTTAATTTTGGGTGAATATATGTTTCTCATTGGCAACCATACCACATCACCTCATTTTTATATACGAGAGTGTCCAAAATTTCGAGTTTTTCAATCGGTTTAAAATGGCATGCAAGTATGTTGATCGAAACTGATTTTTTTCAGTGAATAAATAATGTTTAATTTAAACTCATTATGAAAAATGTGATCATATTTTAGCTTACAGTTGTACATATAATATGAGTACAGAATGATGGTAATTTTATAAGACACCACAGGATTATTAAGATTTGTAAAACTGCTTATACCGACCGGTTTTCAAATGTCAGCATACTAAAGATTGAGAAGTAAAGATCTTCAACAAATTATAATCTCATATTTTCTTTATAATATACTTAAACGAATATTCAAATTACAAAAAATCCAAATTGAAACAACCAACAATGCATGGGCTCGCTATAATGTGTTAGCATTTCGTACGATTTTTAGACCAGACGCTATATAATTATCCATCGATGTGATCTCCGAAGACTACCGACGGTCATATAACCTGATATAAACACAAATATAAATATAAATAGCAAGCATGTGCAATCGGATTTTTCTAGGTCCGTTTGATTTCATGTTATCGGTTAAAAAATATATAAATTATCGTTTTGCCTGTTGGGCCCGATGAGTCAACGAAATGGTTATTCTTGTTGGCTCCCTTGTATCACTTTTAAATGTTGAAGTTCTTTTCTTTTTAATGATTGAGCCACATGATGAACCCATGTCCTCTAAAGGTCAAATTAAAACCGTTGCATGAATACGAACTCAAATGATTAAATTATTGGCTTGCAAGTCATTAATTAACCAGTAATGTTTTGTAGCTTATTTTGACTAAATTGAACCAAACTAACTGCTAATATTGAAATCTTATTTCTTTATTCCACTTTTATTAATGTTTGAAATATAAAAAAATCATATTTAGTTGTTTTGTCGAATTCGTAGGTCCTTAAAACTAAAAGCTGTGATGATCGAATATATTCTCGAATAAGAACAGTGCATATTTGTTGCAGAGAAAATAATGCGGTCAACTAAGGATATGTAAGTTAAACTTCAACTCCTTTGCAAACTATAATGCCTGGCTTTTTAATCTGCGCTAATGCTACATAATCTAGACCCTCGAAGAACCGTGTCCAGTTTATCGTTAGGTTAATTATACTACTTTATTTAAACATTTAATGCCAATGAAGGGGATAAAGATCTTTAAACGAATTGAACAATAAACATCAACAAGTTATTTGAGCAATTGTAGTGCCTAAGATTTATTTATTTAATCGAGGTATATGTCTTTAATTAAATGTAAAGATCCAGGTCACGGGGTTTTGTTTTAAATGTCAAGTTTAAAATAATACATGAATTGACTATTGCATTTAAAATTATTTACGGCATTTCCAAAAGAATTTGGAAGAGTTCAGCTAGTTTGTATTTATTAGGATAAATAAGGATGCAAAGTTTTATTTGGAACGCAAAAATTCAATTCGCCAGAAACGAAAAACTGATGGTAGGTTAATTTAACCGATGATTTACAGAAATTTGTGTAATCAGACACGTTTACAATGAACGAAGGAAGATTAGGAGTGGTAAAACGACAAGAAAATAGTAATCGCAAATATATGGTTATTATGAACGATGTTGCTAAATATAGAAAAGATGCCCTAAAACATTACTTTGACCAAGAGAAGAAAGAGGAACTTCAAAGAAACGATCGATCAGCTGGACGTGTACGCAAGAAAGCTGTCCAGTCAATGGTACTTGGAAAATGTCTAAAAATGAGTAGAGAAGATACTTTAACTTCGCCGACTGGAAATCTATTTGGACACTATAACGGTCGTCCGATTGCATCATTTTCTTCGGATGTTGAAAAGTACATCGCAAGTAAAGATCCAAAAGTTAGAAAAGAAAGAGAAATGGATTTCTTGATGAAGAAATATAAAGAAACTGGAAAGATACTTGAAGAAAATCAGATGAAAAATAAAGTGAAACATTATTTTCAATCACGCTGGGGTGTGCATTACAAATCGGAAGAGAAAGAGAAAGGTGAGTCAGAGATAGTAGAACAACCTCAAATTCGGTTTAAGGATGATAAGCTGCCAGACATATTTTCTTTCTATAAGACAAGCATGCAAACACGAGTTAAAGGAAGAGCTGCAGAGAGAAGAATGAGTAGAATTGAAATTCGAGATGAAAGTGGACAATTTGTTCCTTTGGATTCTAATAATACACTGAAAGGCCGACGTAGAAGCATGTTTCCACTTGTAGACAATTCACCAAGACGGCAAAGCACGATAAGAAGACCCAGCCAATTGCCACAAATGTCAATGCAACAATCATCAAGACGCCGAAGTGAACTAACACAATTTCCAAGTCAGACTTTACGCAAGAGGAGTATGCTTCCTCCAATTTCTTAATTGAAAAATGCCAAAATTTGCTTGCTACATTATTTTTTTATTATTTCTGACTATAGTGTTACCTAGCTTTAAGAAAAAAAATAGACAGTGACGAGAATAAGGACAGGGTATGTTTCACTTAACCTTTAATAAAGTTTTTGTTAATCAAGTTATTAAAATATTCGAAGCAATAACAAAATAAATAAATCTAAATAATTTTTTCTGTCATGTCTTTGCAATTGTCTATCGATAAATTTTGTATGTTACAATACTTCAAAGTATTAGGTAGTGTCTGTTTTTAATTTGTTTTGCGTCAAGTCAAATTAAAAAAAAGTTTACATAAGCCCATAAAAAATGTAACTACGGGTAACATCTAAACTCAAATTATCACACATATAATTTGATGTAGCATACAATCACTATTGTTCAAGAAACTATACATCAGGAGTCGGTTTCACAAAAAAACTTTACGACTAAGATTGATCGTGAGTATACTGAATTGTTCATAACTTACGGTCAATCTGAGATGTAAGTTATTTTTGTGAAACCGACTCCAGTATATAATACTTTAAATTTGAACTAAATAATAGTTTAGGACATTTTACATGTATGACTTAAAGTTTCAAATGTCCAATAAAAATCATTTTTCTTTTTTTTTCTTTTATCAAAAAAGGTTTTTTGTTCAGGAATATTTTTTTACCTCAGACCATCAAAACTTACCAGCAAACAGACGCACGCGGACGCAGGCAAAAAGGCCCTTCATTTATCCTCACAGTTTGTTGGTTTATTTGCATATGGATTTTAAAATAATTACTAACAGCTTTTTTTACTCATTTAAAACTTGCCGGATCGCATACATTGTATCAAATGTTATTATATTTAAGGTGTATATCTTCGTAGCATTGCAAAAAAAAAAATCAGTTAATGAATTATTACTTTTTATTTTGCTCCAAAGAGACAGTTCTCATCATGGTGATTGCTATATATATCTTTACTTATTTCTACTGGTTTTTTTTCACGATAGCTAAATGTGCAAATTCAAAAAGCTTAATTAAAAACTCAAGCAATTTAAATCATTGCAAACATATTCAAAACCGTTTATTATGATAAAAAAAAAATTTCACTATCATAATTTATCTCACAGCAGAACAATAAATAGCACATAGAGCAAAATGTGAAGATCACTTGCTTCATAACGTTATAAATTTTCAAAAATAGCATTCTATTTTATAAAAAAATGTGGTAAATAATTTTAAAGTAGATTTTTTCAAACAATGGTTGAATTAGTTTTAATACTAGTGTGGTGTTATATTTGTAATATTTTTTGGGGTGTTCTTTTTTGTATTACTAGCTATTATAATCCCTAAATGTACTGGAACTGATAAAAAATGTGTTTTCTTTAAATTGTGTATTGTATGCAGAAGAGAATTTTAAAAATAGTATAATTGATATATGACGTAAAAGTAGTAGTGGCGATTGCATATTTTGGGTTGTTCACAAATTAAATTCTACATCAGGTCACGTGGGTAGCTTAAAATTCGATATAATGACCACTGCCAAATTTGGTTCTGATTTCAAACATTTTCAACATAAATCGATGTACCTTATTCCAAAGGCTTATTCTATCGGTGCATTACATTTGCGCACATTACTATTACATTTGCGCGTAAAAATTATTACTTTTGCGCGTAGCTTTTGACTACATATGTGCGCATTCATCTTACATGTAAATTCATGTAAATTTAGGCAAACGCGTGTAAAAATTATACTTATTTATTAATTTAATTAACTAATTACAAGTAACCCTTCAGTTAGTCGAAGACATCGGCTCACCAACGAGGAGATGGAATTTGGGTTTCGAGCAGGCTAAATCCGTTTCATTATACACAAACACGAAAAAACTGCGCGCAAACTTAAAAAAATATAATCCCCAAATACGCGCAAATGTAATGCTCCCTATTCTATTGGCCGACTAATGAATGTGTTTGATTGTTTAAGCAAATTTTGTATCGACCAAAATGCAAGTAATCCATTTGACGAGCTATTATCGTGTGATAAACTTCTTTCAATGATGATTTTACAAATGAAGAAATAGGGAGACATCATTATGCCTTAACAAAAAAAATTACCTTACAGAGGCTATGAAAACAAAAAAAATAGATAATGAATGCAAATGAGACATAAGTTTATTTTTCGTCCTTCCCTTCGCTAATATAGATTGAAAATATCAGTCGCTCGAAACAATGTGAAGTTTTTGTGCTCGTTCGCTACGCTCACTTGCCAAAAACGGTGTACATCGCGGCTGATATTTTACGATATCAATGTGTAGAAAACCGATAATCTATACATGTACAGTTTTTCTTTCTTATCTAACTTTGCTAGTTCTTGACGTACTATTGATATTATTGATATATAGAAGTCTTGGTGCATTCTTTGTCATGAAAGTTTTTACAAATATAGTTATGTGATTTAATATGACATTACTGTAATACATTGGAATGGTTATGATTATAATGATTTTAACACTTTTATTGTAAAACCATTATCACAACATTCTATAATAGTGAATTGATGTGATAATTTATAAATTTATTTCAACTGCATGCATAATATTTCAAACTGTATTTGTACGAATTGTTCTAAAATTTCATGGATGCACATCTGTTTTCCTGACTATTGGTGCAACAGATGCAAATGGGTAATATATATATATATATATATGACGGATCATTTACAAAATATAAAAACAACCCCAACTATAGTTTGGACGTATAGTGGATCTAGACGAAGGGACCCGGACCCCCTAAGGCCGAAATTTTGTTTTGATACATTTTTCCATTCTTCTTATTTTTTACTGCAGTCATTTTTTCGTTTTCGGTAGGCAACTACTCGCCTTCATTTTGAACATTGGATCCACCGCTAATGGTAAGTCCAAATTTAAACATTTTAATGACGGTGCCAAATGTAATGTATTTTGGCAAACATCTGTAATACCGGTACATTGTAGTACATTGTAATATTTATTGTTTTATATGATTAGATTTAATAAACACAAGTTATATTGACTACATTTATAAATCACAAATTAGGCCTTTGATTAAATGCACGTCCTTCGGTATCTGTTGGACATTTGTCTCATTGACAAGCATACCACATCTCTTTACTTGAGACCTAGAGTTGTTTACATTCCCGTCTTTCGGTCTCTGTTGGATATTGGTCTCATTGACAAGCATACCACATCTCTTTACTTGAGACCTAGAGTTGTTTACATTCCCGTCCTTCGGTCTCTGTTGGATATTGGTTTCATTGACAAGCATACCACACCTCCTTACTTGAAACCTAGAGTTGTTTACTTTCCCGTCCTTCGGTCTCTGTTGGGTATTGGTCTCATTGACAAGCATACCACATCTCTTTACTTGAGACCTAAAGTTGTTTACATTCCCGTCCTTCGGTCTCTGTTGGATATTTGTCTCATTGACAAGCATACCACATCTCCTTACTTGAGACCTAGAGTTGTTTACATTCCCGTCCTTCGGTCTCTGTTGTGTATTGGTCTCATTGACAAGCATACCACATCTCCTTACTTGAGACCTAGAGTTGTTTACATTCCCGTACTTCGGTCTCTGCTGGATAGTTGTCTCATTGACAAGCATACCACATCTCCTTACTTGGGACCTAGAGTTGTTTACATTCCTGTCCTTCGGTCTCTGCTGGATAGTTGTCTCATTGGCAGTCATACCACATCTCCTTATTTGTATACAATGTGTTATGCCTCAAAAGACAAACAGATCACATACAATGTACAATACGCCTGTTGATGAGATTAAGACCAGTGCTCATGAACATTATAGTGTATACCTCTAATAGTGGTATTTGTAGGCATTTGTACTATATAAAAAGAAGGAGATGTGGTATTATTGCCAATGAGACAACTATCCACCAAAGTTCAAATAAAGTGGATGTAAACAATTATAGGCATTCGTGCGGCCTTCAAAAATGAGAAAAAATCCATACTGTATAGTCGGCTATAAAAGGACCCGACATGAAAACATGAAACAATTCCATTGAGAAAACGAACGGCCTAATTTAAACAAAACACTTTACGAAAAACAAATATGACAGACATGAACCAACGACAACCACTGAACTACAGGTTCCTGTCTTGGGAATGTGGCGGGGTTAAACATGTTTGTGAGCGCTCAACCCTCCCCTAACCTGGGACAGTGGTGTAATAGCACAACATAAGAACAAACTTTAAAAATCAGTTGGTTCGTTTATGAATTACACGAAACCCGATAATTGATAGTTAAATTTACTTGAATTTGAAAAGCTAAAACAAAGTGCTTTAACTTGTGACTCAATCCCAAATAAAACTCCCAGTCTAGGGAAAAAAATGCTTTTTCATTAATAACAGAGTTCTCACAATGTGATATTTCTGATAAAATGTATGCCAAGTCTAACAGATACAATCAGAATCCTTTTGGGCTAGATTGTATTAAGATTATATATTCTGTGTCTTGTATTTCAAATGTATTTTTTTCAATTGTATATTTTTTCTTCGTTTTTCATATCAATATTTCGAGCAATATTTAGTATGCGGCTTACACAGCTACTTTAGTAACAGTAATCGTAACGTACATTTAGTGAGATGCATATTTACTGTATACCGGTTAAGATGCATATAAACTGCACATCTGCATATAAAATGTAACTGTACTTTCGTTGAGATGCATGTTAACTGTGAAAATTCATATAAATTGTATATCTGTAAAGTTGTGTATACATGTAGTTAATATAAACAAGTCTAAATTGAAAACAACGTCCAATCCTATGATTGCGTTGGATAAAAACCGCAATTTTTATACGTGTGCATGTAAAACAAATTTCTTGGTAGAGGGGTCTAAATACAGCACAAATAACATTTTCCAAAAGACCAAAATAGTGAAAAAGTATATTTTCACAAAACGCATTTGACTAACAGGTCGAACAACGGATGTTCTTAAACCCTGCTGACTGCCATTGGCGATTGCCAAATAAATTGATCACCAGTATAAAATGGATCTTAATATTAATTTAATACCAAACAGAAAACAATAAACTTGTGGAAAAGATGGTTTACCACAAACATGAGGTGCAAAAATTTTATACACCATATCCGGATTTCGACAACTAATGTCTCTTCAGTGATGTTAGGGATCGAAACAGTATTTGGAAGGCCATATAATTTACCTCAATTTAGGATAGACTCTGGAATTTTAAAGAGTCGAATATAATACAAGCCCAAACGGAAAAATATAAACAAGTCTAAATTGAAAACAACGTCCAATCCTATGATTGCGTTGGATAAAAACCGTAATTTTTTATACGTGTGCATGTAAGACAAATTTCTTGGTAGAGGGGTCTAAATACAGCACAAACAACATTTTCCAAAACACCAAAATAGTGAAAAAGTATATTTTAACAAAACGCATGTGACTAACAGGTCGAAAAACGGATGTTCTTAAACCCTGCTGACTGCCATTGGCGATTGCCAAATAAATTGATCACCAGTATAAAATGGATCTTAATATTAATTTAATACCAAACAGAAAACAATAAAATTGTGGAAAAGATGGTTTACCACAAACATGAGGTGCAAAAATTTTATACACCATGTCCGGATTTCGACAACTAATGTCTCTTCAGTGATTTTAGGGATCGAAACGGTATTTGGAAGGCCACATAATTGTAGTTTATATATATCTTTACAAATGCACAGTTTATGTGCATCTTTGAAGATTTACATTTTATATACATCTTTACAGATGCACAGTCAGTGTATCTAAACAGTTTATATGCATCTCAATAAAAGTATAGTCGATATGAATATTTACAAATGTACAGTTTATATGCATCTTAACAAATGTACACCAAATTGCTTTTATCATTGAAGCTGTGCATTATATGGTTTAACAGTTTATGAGCTTATGACGGATGTCTGAGGTTGGGAAAATGAGTATCAGTATTATCCCATTTTTTTTACTGAAACGAGAAGGGCTATATACAGTCTTGGTTTATGTTTTTATTGTTTTGTTTGTTGTATATGTTGTTAAAAAAAATATAACTTTAAATTAAATGAACACACAGTTGATTTGACCAATGAATATAAATATTTGGGTATTTTATTTAAGCCCTCAGGAATTTTCACTTATGCTGTTAATCATCTGTGCAAAAAAGCTTCAAAGGCAATGTTTTGCATTAGAAAGCTCTTATTCTCAGATAAACTTAATATTTATCCACATTTAAAACTGTTTGAAAGTTGTTTAAAACCTATACTACTTTATTGCAGTGAAATATGGGCACTTAATATGCTAGTTAAAGATAATTCAAGACTGAATGTAGATATTTGTCTTTTTTACCATCAAAATTTCAAATAAAATTTGCTTAATATCTTGTTGGTGTAAATAAAGCTGCAGTAAACACAGCAGTTTTAGCAGAAATAGGTATGTTACCTATTGCTATTGATGCTGTAAAGGCTTCTGTTGGCTATTGGTGCCATTTGATGAATGCAAAAAAAGATAGTTATGCTTCAAATGCGTATAAATGTAGTTTCAATTTAAATAATGGTTTTGCGGCCAAATTGAAAAATACTCTTTCCAAAATAGGATTCAATCATGTATGGGAAAATCAAAATACTTTCTCCAAAAAATGCCTTATTAATGCTGTAGGTAAAAAATTAGCTGAAAGGTATACAGATTTCTGGAAAGACAGTCATTTTAACGACCAAAATAATCCTAATGGAAACAAATTAAGAACATACAGAAAATTAAAAAAAGAATACAAATTAGAAAAATTTTTATTAATAGATTTAGATCGATACATGATATCAAATTTTATAAAAATAAGAATAAGTAATAGCTATCTAAATATTGAACAGGGTAGACACCGTAAATTACCTTTGGAAAAAAGATTATGTCCTCTCTGTAAAAAGGAGGTAGAAAATGAATATCATTTTGCTTTAAAATGTCAAATTTTAGAAGAATGTAGGCAAAAACTTTTTCAGGAAGTAGAGAGTATAGTTCCAGATTTCACCAAAATGCCTAATGAGGAAAAATTTGCATTTATGTTTACATTTAATGAGTATTATGTAACTAAAATTATTGTCAAGGGAGTTAATGATTTATATGTTTTAAGAAATAGCCTAGCTGATAAGAAGAACTAATCGATGTAACAAAGTTGTGACTATTCTATATTTTTCTTATTGTATTTGTTATGATATATTTTATAACAATTGTATTATAATTTTTGTACTTGCACTTTCAAATTTGCAAAAGTATCACCTCCTCCAAAACATCTAAATATAGTCTTATAGAATATGAATGTTGTTTAAATTTAAATATTGTATGTTTGTAATGATTGTCATGTTTGTCTTGGTAACGATCCAATATTTGGATTTTACACCAATAAAATGATTTGATTTGATTTGATTTGTTGCTTTCTTTTAAGCGAGTTATTTACTGGTACTTTGTGTTGATTGTGGCGTTGTTCAATTCTTTAAATGATTTTTAAAAATACGAATACGATGAGAAAAAAAAAGCACTTAAGGTTCACTTATACACTTTAACAAAAATGGCTGTGTTTACACAATAAAATTTTCTCTGAATGCAGACAAAACTGTGTAATTCTAATAGTCTTAAATCCTGGCAGCACCTAGATATATACAAGTTGTATACATTTTGTGTTTTAAGAAGAAAAAAACTTTTGTGGATTTTGCTAAACATTTTCTTCCCTTGCCGTGGGTGGTGTAAAAATGAACAAAGTCATGTGAAATCTTTGAGATAGTCCCCCTCAGGTAATGATTGTATTGTATCATTGATTGATATGGACAATAGAGGGACAATAGAAATCTACTCACAACAAAGGTGATTTAAATAGTGTAAATGAGTGGACTGTATCAAAGAAAACTCAGGTGTTTGTTTATTTCACCATCTTCTGTGGCAAGGAAAGAAAATGTTCATCAAAATCCATAAAGTGTTTTAACTTTTTAGAACATATATTGGATGTAACAATAATTTATCTTGGTGCTGCCAGGCATTAAAACTTTTAAAATTACACAGTTTTGTCTGTACTCAGAGAAAATTTCATGGTGTAAACACAGCCTTATTTGTATTAGAATATAGCAAAGTACTCTCGACCAATGAAATTGTAGGATTGGATGCCTCTTAATTGTGAAGAATGAATGTAAATCATGTTCTTAGTAAGGGATTATCCTATTATTTGGTTCTATTTACAGTTCAAAACAAAGAGTTTCTACAAATGAGTTACAACTGCCCCGAAGCACATTTATCAGATTGAAAGGATTTATCACACAGTGATTGAAACTGACTAAAAGTTGAGTTGTGAAACAAACAAAAATCTCAAAATAAGTTGAAGTTTACTGGTACAGTAAAATTGGTACCGTGAATGTTATTATGAAAATATTAATAACTTCAAATTACTATAAAATTAAACAATACCAAAGCAATGCAAAAAAAAAAAAAAGAAAAAAAATCTTTCAGATAAAAAATAACCTAAATCTTTAGCTCTAAAACTTTGATTACTTGATCAGCGGTTGAGGAGAATAGTTATCTCCAATACATGTATTCCGATAAAAAAAATAACAGGAATTTGATTTTGAACATATTAAAAGCTTTTAAGGGCGTTATTTTTGAACATTTCTCTGACATAATGAAACAGTATTTGATGTAAAAAGCCGGACCAAATTATTGGCTGTGAAATAAAATTTAGTTGTAACTCAAATGTATTAATTGATTTAAACTGTAAATAAAAATAGGATAATTCCTCACTAAAATATAACATGATTTACATTCATACTCACAATCAGGAAACATACAATTCCTACCTTTTCTTTCTACTGTTGTGTCACCTAATATCTATAATGCATTAAAAAAAAAAATATTTTCCTAATGATAAGAAAGTCCTCACATCACTAAAACTAATCCATAAATGACATGCCGAAAAAAGGAAGTCATGCATCAATTATAAACATTGCACCGACAAAATGAAACTAATTCTTGAATAGATCATAAGAGCCTTGAGCACTTTACAATATTCTAAGTTTGTAAGAGAATGATAATCCCTTACATCATGATAAGTACTCGCTAACGCTCGTACTTATTCATGAAGAAAGGGATTATCATTCTCTTACATATACGTCTATGTTAGTCTATGGAAAGGTATGTACTATGAAATTTGGAGCGAGGGGCTTGCCCCGAGCTCTTAATTTCATAGTATATACCTTTTCATAGACTATCCAATTTAGCACATATTTACAACTCGAGTAATCTTGTAATTGGTCTATTGATAGTTTATTTTGGCTGACTACTTGTATCACAGGTGTTTGTAAAACGGAGCTCATTAACGAAGTTTTGTAAATCTACTCACTAGTATCATTGTAAAATATGTGATTTCAAAAGGCCCTTCACTCCAGTATGAAAAGATGGTAGCTGCTGGTGTAAGTATGTATACTGATATAAAGCGGTGTTTTACTATACATGTTCTTCTTACATGGTAAGATGAAAAAATAAATTGACCAAAAGCAGGCAGTAATTAAATAGTAGTGGAAGCTTTACATGTTTTGAAAACATTTTTTAATTTCACAGTAAAACTAAAGCTATAAAAAATTTGAAACATATAGATAGTTTGTCCCCATAGATATAGTCTAGCAGATAGGCATTAAAAACCAACTACCAATAGATCAGAGATTATAGGATTGTGTTTTGTGTTTTTTTTTTTATTATTTCAAAGTAAAAACTATAAGATTTATCAGAATATGTTTATATATATATATAATATATATATATATATATATATATATATATATATATATATATATAGTATAGGTGGCACATTATCTTCAGACATAATCACAGTTTTTCAATTCATGACATCGTCCTGAACATGCATGAAATATTTGCCACTGGACATAAGCAACCAATAATCAATAAATCAATCAATCCATGACGAAATAAATCACCTTCCTTAAGAAAGTTTAAAAAATTATCACCAAGTTGCTTTAATTTTCCTTCACAAGGTTTCATAGTACACACTTTTCTGTGTACAAAGTAATAGCATGGATGATACATCATCATAATTTTAAGATATCGTTGTACTCTAATCAAGGTACAAAGAACCATATGTATTACCCTTTATTTAAATGATAAAATTTGCAATTGTCAAACACATTTTTTAGATCCAAAGATTTTAATAGCAGGATATTTAAA